AATAATAATAATAATAATANATAATAATAATAATAATAATAATAATAATAATAATAATAATAATAATAATAATAGTAATAATAATAATAATAATAATAATAACAACAACAATAATAATGACAGTGGTAACAATAGTAATAATAAATAATAATAAACAGTAAATAACAGGTAGTAAGTGATAATTACAAGAATAAACCTTAACTGATACTAGCCATATATGATGAACCTCCGTAATTTATGTGGAGATTTCACAGTTGCTTTTTGCAGATTTGGTAAGAGTTACCTCGCATGAAAACTTTAACAGTAGGATCATACATTGCTTCATCAAATTCTGGATCATACCGTGCACCGCATCGATAATAACGATCCCTATCGTAATATGGGCGATCGTACGGCGATGGCCGTGGATGTAAGCTTGAAAGCCTTATCGGTCCACCATAGCGACCATAATCTGCATACCTACAAAGCCTACTTTTTAGCCTTTGTCAAAGTCAGTAATCCATGGTAGAATTTGAAAAAACTGCACTACACTTCGCTTAGTTCCAATATCGAATCTGATGCTTTGTGAGTAATGATCGACAAACAGCAATGCAATGCTTTCATTTCTGAGTGAAAAGGATTACAAAAAAAAAAAAAATCAACGAAAATACCTGTCACGAAATCGAAAGTCAAGTGTCGGACTTATTCCACGCAATGGGACTGGTCCACTGGTTGGTGGTGGTATACCTCGTGCTGCGTAATAGCTGTTGTCCATTTCATCGGCCGAACTACGGAAAACCTCGACATATCTAAAATACTTATTATGGAACGCGGTTCGTATTTAACAAGTCAAAAATACTTCGCTCTCTTCTTAAATTCCAAGAAATCAAAGTTTGAATAAGTATCATTTTATACATCAACAAACACTAATAGGCAATAATAAATTAGTCATAATTTCCGTAAAAAACTTACGTTAAACAAAAATCACGCCGGATCTCTAGTAGCCAAATGGCCGCTGTTCAATTCGGACCCTACCAACAAACACAAATTTTACCTGCCCAGTATTGAAAATTTGCAAATTCCCCAACAGAATTCCCATACCTTGAACCCATGTAGTTTTTGCTTCTCTCCAAAGCCAGTTCCGCGTATTCTTTGGTTGCCAACCGTACGAATGCCTCCCCCGAAGGTCGACCCCCCGGTTCTTTGTCGATTACCGCATCCGCTACTTCCAGGCCTATATTCCCATTAAAACATATTACCAAAACCACTCTCATACCAAACTACCGCTTACCGGTCCTTTAATTCTATTCGGGGATGACATGCAACTCTGACAATCAGCTGTATAACCGCAAGAAAACTATATTTGGATTGTTTATTTGGATTGTTTTCACAAAAACAATAAGATTCCAACGAAATACCTGATTTGAAAAATAAAAAAGTGCAGAAGCCAATCGTTTACTCTAAAGCAAAATCTGAAGTGGATAAAAAGAAACCTGAGAAAAATTCCTTGATGTCATCGATCGTTGCACTATATGGCAAACCTCGAAGACGGACAACAAAGTTGCTAGCATAGCGGCTGTCCGCGTCCCCACCGCTACCTTTGATCACACCATGGCGTATCATCATTAATAGCTCCGCGTCACTAACGCTGAATACTGCAAAGGTTTCATGAGAAGAGTATTGACATGAGCACTAAATTAGAAAATACGCTTGGGCGGAACGTTGTCGTTTAACAACATAAGCTTTTACTAGCTAACTGGACAGTGTGGCACAGATATTTCGTCAATTTCGTACATACCTTCAATGTAGCGTCCATTTATTTCATTACGATCAAGTTTTTGAGCCTCTTTAACAGCTTCCTGATCATCCAGCTCTACGTAACATTCGCCACTTGCTCGACCATTTGATGTCAGTGTGAAAGTTATCGACTTTGCATTCAAACCGAAAAGAAAAAAACTTCTGTATCTAAGAAACCAAATGCTTATATCTAAAAAATGATCTGCTTTAGAAAACCTTGGAGGAAGTCTCGGACGTCTTGTTCTTTAGCAGCAAACGGAAGCCCACGCAATCGTATATAATTCGTATCGGGATTCATCATCCAAATTTATCAAGATCACAGCTAAAAAGAAGCAATCATTCAGATGAATGGCGTACAAAACGCGACACAAATGATAGGACAGAAATGAAAAATATGAAAGAGGTAATGCGATGAGACAATTTCCACTACAATTGAGTTGATTGGAGAGCCTATTACGGCTAGTAGAGGATAGTGAAGGGAACGAGGATCGACGACAACAATCGATACCTTCAGCTATTCAAAGAGAATTTCTCCTTCCTGACAACCGCGGCGGTGGAATCCCTTCAAGAACATGCGCTAACCGTACAGCACGATAACACGATTCTGCAGGCTAATGACTATTGAGTGGACAAAAGTGTTTCAGGTCTGTTTTCAGATTCTCTGAAACCGTGCCAGTAAGTGAAAGATAACACACATGGCGATCACGACAGGTCATTTGGAGTCAGTTACCTTATTGACATCACTTCGCCTGAACGTTTCTTTCTTCAGCTTTTCTTTATCTCATTTCAAAAATTAAAAGCATTCGAAATTCAATGTGAACAGAACTCACGTTACTTATTTAAAAGAACAAATATGTGACCTAAGACTCCCGCCATGTCACGTCTATGATGTATGCCAATAAATACAATTAATATCTACAAATGCAGTGCTGTGCAAGAAATGATGCAAGATTAGCTTTATAATTTTTCTCGTAATTGCAGCGAAGTGGTTGAATTACTAGTCTTGGAAGTGTCCTTTGCAAAACATACATCATATAGTTCTTGCTAGCTGAAATGTTTCTTATATGGATGATATGAATAACTAATAACATGTCCTTGCTTATTAATTCAATTTTATAAACTGATGTCCCTTCTTTATGGTGCTATGGACTAACTAGCAACTTATGATGTGACTGATGATTGTTAATGATCGTAGACTCAGCCGGTGGTACACTTTTTCTGTGAAATACGCGTTCAAGATTATATTTCTCAACATCTTGCCCCAATGCGAAATATCGGCAAGTGCCTCTTTACGCCGAACGAACCCTCTAATGAATTTATTACATTCATAGCGTGAAATAATCATGTAAAAATGTATCATGTGAGATCAACTCTATATGCACATTATGTGCCAATTTATAATTGCTCCTCTCATTTATCATTCTGAATTTAATGAAGTCCCTGTCCTCGACAAAATCAAAGAGAGTTGCTAACATCACTCAATGTTTTCCTTGTGTTAGATCGAAAATTAGTTGAAAGAGAGGACATTATTTTCCGAAGGATGTTCCACATATACGAGCAACAATAAATTTACCAATGAATTTGCCAATTGCAAACGGCTTTAAAAACTTTGATTAGATAATATTTTCAATGAAAAAGTACGGCACACTGTAGCATAATTCAGGTCGCATGAAGAATCATGGATTTTTACGAAAAAATAACATGTAGAATCTCACCTTGATATATTTACCGTTTTCTTAGTCTCCCAATCCATTTCCCCTCCTACCTCATACCGTTGTTTCAACTTGATTTCGAAAATCCCAAACACCAAATCTTTTGCAAAAGATTGAGCCCGGAATACCAATGCCATCTAAACATTATTAACGAAAAACGGGCGCGATTTCTTCTTATCAGAATTTCGAATGCAGAGAACTTTTCCATTAAGACTGTGCGATAATCAGAACTATTCAGCCAACCTTTCTGAATTGTTTTGTTTCCTCAGAATTCTGTTTTATGTCCACCAGTTTTACGTTGCACTTCAATAACAGGTCTTGAACTTTTGAAAATTTTAAGTAAAAAGCAAAATAAAACTGTCACAAAGTGAACAAAATTATATGACATCGGCAAAAAGTGATAAAAGGGAAAATGGACAGTTTCTTGCAAAACTCGAAAAATAGTAGGATATACGTTAATTATAATTAAAGCACTATTTACAAATGCAAGAATTAGCAAGAGATTAAAATACAGGAGGTGCTCCATTAGCTGTTTTTCTCTTTTGCTAGAGCACGTACAAAATTCCAACCGTTTTGAAACCGAGGTACAAATTCATGTACATATATGTATATATAATGATAACTCATAGCAATGAAGATATTCAAACCTTCAGAAGAAAAAAACAGCAAAGTACATTTTCGTTCGTTAAGCCTGAGAAATAAAAATACAGATTACAGACCGGAAGTATAGTGATATTTGAAATTTTAAATCGAAGTTTAGAAGGATTCAAAATATCTTGGAAGAGTTAGAAATGTTTAAGAATATTCAATACGCTGACCGCATGAACCCAAATGAAAAACAATTGAATTTCGAACTTTCCTAAAAACCTCTCATCTATCTCAGCTACGACATTCTCACCCACACAACCTACAGATCATAAATCCAGTAAAGCACCTGTGCTGGAAGTTGGTAATAAAACTCAGATCAGTCACAAGTCACAGATACATATATGCACTGAAAGATTATGGAAGATGGCAACAAAGTGAAAACTGGATTACAGTGGTAACAGTGTCTATTCACAGTACTAGCTCGAAGTGATTGTGCAGCACCCATTTCATCCGTCTCAACTCGGTTAACTCGTGATATAATTGCGCGTTACGAGCGCGTGCATCACGGCGCTCACGGGCCTCGTCCACAAGCTGACGTACCTCCACACTTTTCATCTGAAAATCATTTCATTCTACGGTTCACGAGACATTCCCTTTCCATGTGCCAGCAACCAAGTCGTTGCAGTTTTTATTCAAGCATCAATTAAATGGCTATTTAAATTATCCACAGATTGCATTAGACAAGCTTTGGAATCGCTACAAAACTTAGCTAATTTAATGCAAACTCCCAGCAATTCTATGCAGCACAGTCCGAAAGAAGAAAACGGGAACTCTAAGCCTTCGAATGCAAGAAAAGCTAATTACCTGCAATTCAGCAATCTGCGCATCCAGTTCAGTCAGGAAATCCAGCTCAACTTTTTCTAGATCGTTTGTTTGTAGAGGAA